AAAAAGTTTTGTCTTGCCAGAGCACAGAGTATGTTGGGGATCAAGATGTTTTCTTAGAAAACCGAGACAAGCCTTTCTGTTCCTTTTGCTAAGCAGTGGTTTTTGTCTTGGAACTCTGCCATGCAGGCCATTGTTGCCCAGTCTCTTTCTTATGGTGGAGTCATGAGCACTGGCCTTAACTAAGGCAAGTGAGGTGTGCAGTGTTTTGGATCTTGCTCTGGGGTCTTTTGTGACCTTTTGGATGTGCCGTTGCTCCACTCTTAGGGTAATTTATGTTATAAATTGGAGTGGGGCGATCACCTTTTTCACACGTGGGTTTGGATTTTTTCCCCAAAGATGAACAAACACCTTTATTTAGAATATGCATGATGTTTTTAATTTTTTACTTGTGTTATCTTTCATGATCTGACATGAGCAGACCCACGAGCAAACATGTTTTCGCACCACTGTATATAAACAATTTATCAAAAGATTGGGACACCGCCTTTACATTATTGACATTTTAAAATGATAATTTGTTGAACAAGAAAAGAAACATATCTGAAAGTAAATATGTCGTGTTTCTTTCAGTGACAAAGGAAGTCAACCTGTGATCAGCTGATCGTCTCAGGAATCCCTGACTTTTAACTTCCACTAAAACCTGAATTTGTTTCCTTTCAGTCGTTTTTAGTTTTAATCCAGCCTTTTTCAAACTTCAGTCTTTTGTTCTACATGTTATATCTTTTGTTATATTTGTAACTTTTAAAGTATTTTTCCTCCTCTGGGCACCAGCGGAAGTTTGAAATGGTGAAACAGGTGTATTTGTTTGTTGCAGTCTACACATTAAGTATGAACCTTAAACTGCATGTTTTTCTTCTCAATTTAATAAACCATAATAATGTTGGTGTGTTGTTTGAATCTAATCAATATTTCAACTCTTTCAGTTAAATAATCAATGTTTTTACTGTGAAGGTCCCAGAAAAACATTATATTTTCAAAAATAAAAAGAGAAATATGGAAAGATCAACTAATTCCTTGTGATCAATGTGAACTTTCATTAAATACAAACATGCATTCATCCATTTGCTTTTGCTTATCTGCGGCTGGGTCGTGGTGGCCGCAGGCTAAGCAGAGAAGCCCAGACCTCCCTCTCCCCAGCTGGAACATCAAGCTGTTCCTAGGTCAGCTGAGAGAAGGCCCTGGGGCAGATCCTTTCACCTAGTCAACGGCGTACAAAGATCCTGCGCGATGAACCGTAGATTTCAAAGTTTGATTCCTCGGTCCATAAAACCTTCCAGTCTTCAGTAGTGCAATGGTGGCGTTTCATGGTCCAGACAAGCCTCGTTGGCTGTGTCCCAATTCAGGGTCTGCACGCTTGAAGTACGCGCACTACGCATACTACGTACGGTGCGTACTATAAGTACGAGAAGTGCGGAAGTGAGAGGCTTGTGAAATGGGACGGTATACGCTT